GGCTTTTTGAAATATTAATTTTTTGAAGAGTGTGTAGTTAAATAATAAAGAAGAATTTTAAATTTATATATACAATTATTTTATGAAAAAATATATGAAAAAAATTGAATTTTGAGAAAGTGAGTTATTGAAAAAATGAAACCCAAATGGGCATTGACAAAAATAGACCTTTATATTGGAGAGACGTAACCGTAGTGAAATGAGAGATGACCGTCGGGCGTTGTGCGATAATAAGTCCGAGTGAGTGACCTGATGATCTGAACAAAACATTAATTATGTGGGCCCTAGTGGGCCCCCCTTTTGCCTCGGAAATTGGGCCAGTCTGTGTCGATTCTGATTCATCTCACACACGTTTGCCAATATTAGAGTTCCAAACTCAATCCAATAATTGAGCTTGGTATGGGCCCAAAACGGTAGAGAAGTCTTTACATTTGGGCTAGGCCCAAGGCCCATATTATCTGTTTAGGTCCACTTTATGACCTCCTTTTTTTTTTTTTTTTTTTTTTTTTTTTTAGGATTTAGATTATAACTCGATCAAAATTCATCGATAAAAAATTCATTTTTCGTCGATTTTGTATTAAGGGTTATCTCTCTTGTTGAATAAAGATGAAAATATTAACCAGATGGAAAGCTAGGTCTTAAATCTTAATAGGTTGTTGTGTGCATTTGATTGACTTTATATTCGAACTTTCTTCATTAAATTTTAATTATACATTTAGGCTGAATTTTAAAATAATACTATTTACTATCAGCGGTGCTAGAACACCAATTTATGTAGTATTATATGATAGGTTAAATTAAAAGTAAAATTTTGTGATTCATTTGATTGTATCTTTCATTTAATGATACTTAGTGTTACATAGACTAGTGTAAAAAAATAATTGTGCTAAATAACATTACTCTGAGGATAAAGGGATAGAGAATGTGGACGAGGTAGGAGATGGACTACAAGGGATGCGGTTGGGCAATATGACTATTTTTTTGTTATTATATTTTTAAGCTTAAGGGTAAAATTATTTTTTTACGTAGCCTTAATAGATTATTTAGACGACAATCAATTTATGGATCACAAAAGATTGAAAATAAAAGGTTTGGTACACGAGTACCTAGGAACAAAAGTGAAGAACAAAGTGCAACAATTGGTAGAGTTTAGAACCGTAATTGCAGTTTTTCAAGGAAATGAATCTCTGAAGCTCAAGAAATGACTACAAAAATTAATAAATTGGTATAGAATTCTCGTAATCTCCCATCTCAGTTGCTTCTTCTCTAATCTTAGTAGTTTAAGAAAGCCTGTATAAGCAGTTGTGTCCATCAAAATAAAAAAATCAACTCACCAACATCGATGAACTAGATAAAACAAAAAGGAATGTAAAGTGCCACTACTTTTTTGGGGTAAAAAAGGTAGATAAAATGCATCGAGCCAATGTTTGAGCAACAATGCTACAACACTGTAGTAACCCACTTCATATTCTCATGAAAAGCTCGAACCACTTCCAAAAAAGGATAAATGTACACGAAATTGACTTAAATCTGCAGTAACTTTGACGAGTCAACAGTTTGACTATTTCCATAACACATCAATTCAAAAAGTCAATACATTTAATTATTTAAAGTAGTAGTTTATTATATTAGTCAAATACATAAACAAGCTTCGCTAAAAAAAAGCTGATGTGCAACATATTATCCAGCAGTAGTCTCTCTCTAATCAACAAAACTGCATTATTATTAGGGTTTGACATGTATATATAGTTTGCATTTACATATTAAACCCACAAGGCACCAGCTTCAATGAGCTTCTGCTTTAAGGCCCCAGTGAGATGAAGGCTATTGACCTCAGATTCTCCACCAACACATTTCCCACCAATGAACACCGTCGGCATGGTGGGACATCCAACCCTCGAAAGAGCTAGCTCAATTTCCCCGCCACTCGGGATTTCGTCAAGCTCGTACACCACAGGATTAACGCCTAAATCACGAATGAGGGTCTTGACTGTGTGGCACATGCAGCATGAAGTCTTGCTGAATATCACCACTGGAATTTGTGTCACCATTGCGTTTATTCTCTCCATTGATGAACAAAAATAAGTAATTTCCTCTGCTTATAAGTAGAAAACCTAGCTAAGGATTTTTAAGGCTGCAGTGGATGTTGAAAAATGAAGATTTGATGGGATATTTATATAGGATTGATGGGTGGGGATGTTGGATTGGGTTGTGTTTTATCTGAAAAGGATAACATTTGATTAGAGGAACTAAGAATGTCTTTTTGTAGGATATTTTGGTTCTTTGTAGAAAAAATTTTCACTTGCAATTTATCATCTTTTAGAGTGTGATTGATGTGCCACACTGCATAGAAAAAAAAAATGTTGCACGATAACGAATCTATGCATACGGAGATGTGTCCTTGGTACGGCTACTTATTCTTTGATGGTAATTAGCACATGTTTTGAGCCATACCTTTTTTAGAATAAATTTCATAAGAAGAAAAAATAAAATAAAACGTGTTATTAAAATGTAAGGAAAAAAAACTTGAATTTAAGTACAAAAATTTTATTAAAAGAATATGTGGTGAAAACCAAATTTAAAACAAATGAGTTTTAAAAAATGAAGCTCAAAGAGGGACTGAGTATTAGAGGTTTATATATGTTTCATCTCAATTTGCTTTTATTTTAGGGTTTCTCTAGTATGATCTTTACATGTTTAACTATGTGAATTTTTTAGTTATATATATTATAACTTCAACATACTCTCTCAAGTGGGCATTTTTGTTTTTTAGCCCCTGTTTGACAACCATTATTTCAAAATTCGTTATTCTATATATTCATTTTCAACCATATATTCACATAATAAAATATCATGCTTGTAAACTCAAATCTTTTCTCTACTTTTTAAACATACATTATCCAAAAATTCAATATTAAAAACTTTGTATTAACCAAATAATGATGGTCAAATAGGGGCTTAATCAAGCCTCCTTTTGATTCTCATTCCTTTCAAAATACATTTTTCTATTTATTCTTTTCAACCACACATTTTTCAATAAAATAATATTATACACAAATTCAATTTTTTATTTTGTTATTTTTTAACCAATTATTCTCTATCAAACTATTATTCCAAAATACATTCTTTACCAAATAATGGGACTCAAACAAAGGCCAAATGTTGAAAAACAAGAAATATTCATTAAATGGGTTTTCAATTAAATCGAAGTTAAGCTTCATCAAAAAGTTCTTTGGCTTCTTTATTAAGCAGCTAACCACACTCGTACAGGGAGCTTGTCTCTAGATGAGTTGTGAAGAAACTAAAGGTCCATTTGTCATGACTTATGAAAAGTTAAATTGAGTTTTTAAGATTCAAAGGATATTTTTAGACTTGTTTGACTAATTTAATGAAATTGCTTCTTATAGTTAGAAGAATGTTTTGAGGAAGTTGGTCTAATATAACTTTCTGTAAAAGCACTCTAGAATATGATTAGTTTCAAACAAAAATTAAGATAACTTCGTGCAAAAACTCTTCTATACATTAAGCAAAAACAAAATCAAAAGTTATGCCAAAGAGGCCCTAACTCTTATCATGTTCATCTAATCAATGGTGTAACTAGGACTTTAAGATATTAGAAGGAATCTTCAATATAAAGGATAGTTAAGTTACACACACATAGTGGTCCATTTATGTACACTGCTTTCTAGTGTAGCTTTCGAGGAGGCATATGTTGATTATGAGATGGAGAAGGAAATTGGATTTATCCACAAGGGACCTTTCCTTTTCCATATCAAGATTAAATCGCATCTACTGACTCAACAACTCAATACTAATGGGGATAGAATTTTATGTGATGATATTGATAACACACATGTTAATGCTATTCCATAGAAATATAGCAAGTTACTTTATGATATTATGAGGCTAATAAAGTATAATCGATTTTATGATTATGGATCAAGATTCAAAAAATAAAATAAAATATATTTATGGCATTATGAGGAGAATATGTCAAACGCATGCATGCACATGTCATATATAGTCCCCTTTCAAGAACATTATATATGAGTCCATTTGACAGGCTTCTGAAAAGTCAAAAGATGTTTATGGGATTGAGAAAAATATTTTTGAACATATTCAGATAAATTTTTGAAAGTATTTTATTCAACTAGAAGAATTTTAGGAAAAAAATTAATTTTAACATAGTTTTCTCTTGAAACTTTGTAACAAGAATTATGAGCAACAACATAAATCCTGTCAAATGAATCCTATGTCCTTTTTCTTCATTGTGTATATATGTGCCTATGAATATATAAATATAAGTGTGTATAAGCAATAAGTATCAAACTTTCGATATATCAGAAAAAGAAGAGTTACACTTTCAATTATTGTCACAACTAAATTGCTCACATAAACATAGAGCATCACCTATAAAAGTGCCCATAATTAATGGCCCTAAAAATTGCCGAAGGCCGATTTCTAGGTTCATTGACCCTATTATAACAGGGGGCAATTTTTAAAATGGTTGGATAATTGATCCAATTTTCCACAATGGCCTTTTCTATAAGAAATACTATTTTACCTTTACTATAATTATTTGCAAGATATATCTTATATCTTTATTAATCAGGGCCTATATCTATATTTTTCAATCTTTCAAACACCTTTAAATATTCTTTGTAGTTTAGTAGTTCTTCAAAGATCTTAGGCTGACCTTTCTTGGTTATATATCCTCGAACTAATCCTTCTGAAATTTCTTCTTGTATATCTCTATGTTTAGTTATAATATCCTCTATCTTTCTTATCTCTTTACTAGTTCCTACAGAATCAAATCTTATATTATTTTTACAATTATAATCTATATCTTTATATATTTCTTCAATTTTTTCTTTGCCAACAGGAAATATATTTTCAAACTTTTCAGCTAATTTAAATAAAAACGAAACATTTTTTTCATCTAAAAATAATATGAGATTATTATCATTATTAGAAATAGATGTGGATGCTTGTGAATTGTTCATTAGAATAATTAAATCATAAGCATGTAAGAATAAGTAAATAACTTACAGTAATCAAATGAAAGTAAACAGGCTTTCCTTCCAGTATGCTTTTATAGATGCTTTGCATGTATTTAATCAATCTTATGAATCAAGTAAAGATTAAAATATTTTTTGAAATCATTTGGGTCCACAACTACTTCCGCAAAAGGTTTTTCAATTAAGGTTGCATTTCTCACTCTAGAGAATTAGCCGTGTTTCCACAGACGCTATCTCACATTATTTAGAGTCTCTGTTTCCACCTCTATCCAAACTCTTTTCAGAATCAAGTTCCTACTTGGAACGAAATTTTAAAAGATAACTAACACACAAGGTGCTATAATTTTGTTAGAAAATTGCATTTTCCCCCTAAACCATTCTTCAAAGACGGGTACTTTGGCATGGCTAACATCCATTCAAAATCGATGTTTTGAAATCCTTTTAAAATCTCTATCTATACTGCCGAGGAATCATGAGAAACTTAACGAAATCCTTTTATGAAAACTTTGTTGAATATAACAAACTTTACTTTGATATTCATAAACTGAAGTAGTATATACTTATAATCTATATTTACATACCTTTGGTACTCACCTTATGAAGTTTAGAACTCCATAAGTGATTACCTATTGCACGCTTTTCTATCTTTAAGCTATTTAATATTTTTTCGAATACAAGTGGTGTATCCAGATTACAAAAGATATCTCTTTAAGATGTGTTTCCTCTGAGTGTTTAAAAGATAAGTTATTTCGAGATGTCTTCCTTCCTTCCTCCTTGCCTCTTTTTATAGAAGCCTTTGGGAATCTTATCTTGACAGGTGTTTTTTCCCTTTCTTTGTTGGGTAGCTAGGCCATCTTATTTCCACCGAATTTTCCATTATCTTCTTGCTAAATGGACCTCTTCTTTTGAAATTATATGCCTTATCTTTTGAGTTTGTCTGCCACTTGTGACAAATGGTGGGGACTAGTCACAATTATGGAGACTTTTCTTACACTATCTTCTGTCTTTTAGTAACCACATTTTTCTTTAATAAATTTCTTTATTAAATAGTGATAAAATGCTACTTTTGTCACCATCACTTTTCCATTTTCGAATCAAAGAATTCTGCTGGGAATTCTTCACTATTAAGAGATGCTTGACTCATATCTTCAACAACACAGTATTCACAATGGTGATCACTGTAATTTCAGAGTAATTTGCATAGTTCTTTAGCCATATCTTCTGATCCATCACTTGGTTAGAAATAATTGCAGATAATAAATGATCGAGATAACAAATATCTTCTTCTTTGGTGGCCATCCTTCCATTGGAATAGATAATATGATCTTCAGATGGATAAACCTATATTTTTTCTTTCTCAATAATTATCTGAGTTACATGTTCAAATATCTCTTTATACCCTTTTGCTCTTCTGTAGGGCATCATCTTTAGAATATCTTGATATTCATTTTGACAACCTTTTGATTGGTTGGTAAAATATGTTGATTTGTAAGTCCCATTTTTATCACATGGAACGATGGATGCATATATTCAAAAATGGGATCCCATTCCATGGTTGCTGAATGGAATCTGATATATATATTTGTTGTCTTGACGACTTCAGTATATGTTTTAACAGCTTTCCTGATGTTGGCTGGAAGCTGAGCTATCTCTTTAAGATCTTTGCTAGGATATATACAAAGTATATTTTCTATCTCAAAACAATTTCGTACCTAGTTGGCTGGTGCTCCTGGATAAAAATTTATCTTGTTGTATTTTGAATAGTGGAGAGTTTTCACCCACTTTCCAATCTCCAGATACCAATCTGATAAAATATTGAAAATAACAATAAAGAGTGTTACTTCTTCATGGTTATCTTTTCTGAGAATTTTGTTTCATGGCATATCTTGACAATATCTTTTGGATCTATCCTTTCAATAGAAAGTTTAGATTGAGTTTGGCTCTGTGAAGAGCTACCTTCTCTTTTGATATCTTAAATATCTTTATTACCAGTAATAGGTTCAAGTTTTCCCTATGAAGGGGTTCCTATTACCTTCTTTTTTTTCCCTTTATCCTCGGGGAGAGCACTAGTATTTACAAGTCCCTGCAAAGGGATACTAGATTTGGTACAAGTAACTTCTGCCTCAAGGGCTATATTTTTTCCTCGAAGGCTATCTTGGATATTTTGAATTTGTGTTTCCAAATAGGAAACTTTTATCTCAGGTATTTGGACTT